TGTAAAAATTGCCAGCTGAGGAATCGTTCTATAAACTGCAAGCGATGAAAGTGCCAAAGTGAAATAGCTACTTCATTGCGCACAAAAAATCAGCAAATTTACGAAATCAGTGAGAACACAGTAGAAGAAAAAGAAAAAAAAAACGATGCAAAATATCATTCATAGTCTGGCTGTTCCTCATTTTCATACTCTTCGTCATCGTCCACCGTTGCATCCTGAAGAAAGGGCTGCAGACTAATTAGGGTAGTTGCACTTTTAGCAGTACAGATGAAAGCAAAAGACGGAAAATCGATCTACATCCTAAAAAGTGTAACTTGCTTAATAGCGGATCCTTGGTCAATCTCTTTAGTGCGGTAAATTTACACTCAGCTGCTTCGCTATCCGTCACTGGACAAGGGCGTAAACCCCAACCCAACGGAGCAGGACAGAATCAGCGGTTTCTGCTTTATTATCACATAAAGTTTTTGCTTTATTATCCGCTTATAATCGGTTTCTGCTTTATTATATGTTTGGGGGGTAAAAATTGTCGGGCACTGGATGCCAGCAACCTAATTGGGATGGATATGATCAAGGACGGCTATCCCTCCAACCATCCATCTTCTAGCTAACATTAATTAGCTTGAAAGTGTAGCTTCATCAGGAGGAGTCCTCCCTTCTTCTTCATCGGATCTTTGTATAATTCTTTTACACGAACCTGATACTGTTGATATTCGGAGATGAGATCGTTCATATTACTTTCTGCTTCAGTGAATTCCATTTCGTCCATACCCTCACCGGTGTACCAATGCAGGAATGCCTTTCGTCGAAACATCGCTTTAACAGCAGTCACTGTTCAGCTTTCAAATGCATATAGGTAGACAAATAAAATTTTTCGTTGATAATAATTGCCCACTTTTAGCAAAATCATCAGGAAGTCGGCAAAGATTGTTGATTTTGTTCAATAAGCTAGTGTCAAAAGAGTTTCTGTGGCAAATGGACCTCTACTGTAATGAACAGGGACTGAGAGGAAATTGTAGTTTTCATTTCCGGTATTTACGGATCCTTCGAACCATGACGTCAACCACTATGCCACCGGCTTCTATGTCCCAAACAGCAGTAATGTGCACGAGCAAGTTTGCTGTGACACCGTTTAGCAGTCAAAGAAAGTAAATACACGAATAAACAGAGGAGAAAATGGAAGAATACTACTAGCTAAGTCTGAGGTACGAAATACCAAGTGATTTAATACATTTTGGAGGAAAAGCACTGGCAGATAAAACATTCGCTTTCCCTTGAGAATAAGATGAAATTGTCCTCCCCCTTCCCCCCTCCATCCTCCTCGTCTCTCTGCTTTATTCTACTCAGCTCACCCAGTCTTCCTCTCAATCCGTTAAAAAAAGCGTCAGTGACGCTTTACGACAGTTGTAAAGTAATAGCCACAGAGTCCAATTTTCAAAATCTCTGCAGAATGATTTGTCCTGGCAAATACGCCCGATTATCAGCAATGAGCTTAATTGCTCAGAAGAGTGGAAGACATGCCTTAAACAGTCTGAGGTAGCTTTAGTTATTTCCATGAAAAAGATGAAATTTTTTGATATGTCACTACATTTTCTTTTTCGCTAAGATACCTACATAGTAATCTAGAAGGACGTCCAAGATGAGTTATTGATGGTTACCACACACTACATGCCTCTAGAAACAGTTGAAATCTTGTCAAGTGCTTCAAAAAACCGTTAAGCTGGTAAAAATTGTCGCAGAAGTCCTGTGAAAAGTTGACAGTTGTTGAAAGGGTGTGCTGCAAAGGATGCAACAACCAACCAGAACGGAATATTTGGGAAGTGAACGTACAGAATACAAGTATAGCAGCAAGTGCGTGGCATGTGGTACAACGGTGCGGTGATCTAGCACGTCGCTTGTGGATGCGAAAACAAGTGGTTGTTCGATTCAGTTCCTCTCTGATTCAAAACGATTTTCAAAAAGGGGATCCGTCTGCGAAAAATAAAAAGAAAAGACGAACGTCGTGACTGTCAGCAGGCCGACTACCAGACAATGCAGCACTGGTTTATGTAATTTGAGGAGTTGCCAGCTATATAACTGAAGATTGACCTGCTTGTTCAAAGTATCAAGGAGGGTTTTTTCCTTCACTACTACCATTTTATTACGTAAAATATTGGAAC